ACAAAAAGATGCTGAGTACCAAAGCAACCCTAAGCAGTGACAGCAATGCTGCAATACCATCCTAATCTCAAATTATACTACAGAGCCTCAGTAACAATACTAGTATTCATACAAAACCAAACAAACCAATGGAGTAGAGTCGCGTCTGCAGAAATAAACACACATAGCTACCTATAGCCTTTTGGTTTACAACAAATATTATATATATATATATATATATATATATATATATATATTCTGCTTCCATGTATATTTGCACACCAGAAGAGGGCACCGGATCTCATAGCAGATGGTTGTGAGCCACCATGTGGTTGCTGGGAATTGAACTCAGGACCTCTGGAAGAGCAGTCAGTGCTCTTAACCTCTGAGCCATCTCTCCAGCCTGCCAAAAATATATATTGGAGAAGTGATGTCTTTCTATAACATGGTGTTGGGAAAAACAAGTTGTCTTGGAAATCTAAAACTAGATCACTATCTCTCACCATGTATGAAAATCAATTCATGATGGATCAAAGACCTTCATGTAAGAGCTGAAAATTTGAAACTGCTAGAAGAAAAAAGATAGAAGAAACACTTCAAGAAATAGGTATTGACACAAAAACAAATCTAATCTCAAAGGGAGTAAGAGATAGTTTATTTTAGAGCCAACTATGAGTGATCATGGCCCTGGAACCTTGATTTAGGTTACTCTGAATCCCATGTCCCAAAGAGGTAGCATTTTGATGAACTTTTTATAGTGACAGAATAAAGGAAAGTCATAGTCAAGATATTTTCCAAATAGGTTTGTGGGTACAACAAGTAGGTGGACCAAAGCAAGATGGAGCTCTGATTTAGGCCTTAGACGTTATCTGATAAAATGTATCCCTTTGATTGGTGGGAAACTAGGGTTTTGGTAAATTAATACATAGTGGAAGGGTTTTTTTTATTTAAATCTGTTAGGATATTAGGTTTGTTAGTTGAGTATTTGTTCTGACACAGAGGAGCCCAAGGAATGGCTATTCAGTAGGCTAAAGATAGCCCAAGATAAACTGTAATCAGGATTTGGGTCTGTAACATTCCATCCTCTCCACATGACTGTAGTTCTAGGTAATGTATCTGCTTTTGCAGACACAGTTTCTTTCCAGGAATCCTTGTCCACATAGCAGAGGCAAGGACTTTCTGAAAGTGACTCTAACAGCTCAGGAAACAATTGCAAAAATTGACAAATGGGATTGCATGAAATTAAAAAGCTTTGGCACAGCAAAAGAAACAATTACCAGGGTGAAAAGTCAGCCCACAGGATGGGGAAAATCATTGGTAGCTATTCATCTACAGGGGATTAATAATCAAGAGCATTTAAGGAGCTAAGGGAATTAAACACCAAAAGACAAATCATCCAATAATGAATTGAACAGGCAGTTTTCAAAAGCAGTAGTACAAATGGTCGATAAGCATATGAAAAAAAATGTTCAACATTCTTAGCTGTCTGGGAAATTCAAACCAAAACTACACTGAGATTCCTTCCCTATCACCCCATGAAGAATGGCTGTGTTCTAGTTTGCTAGAACATCTTGTTGCTGAGATGAAGCAATCCCCAACTGAAATCAATTCAGAGTAGGAAAGGCTTGTACTCCTAGGTCACAATACATTACCGAGGGAAGTCAGGGCAGGAACTGAAGCAGAAACCATGGAGGAGCACTGCTTGCAGCTTGACTCATGAGCCTTTGCTCAGCTGTCTTTCTGCCTAGGGATGGTACTGCCCACAGCGGACTGTGTCCTTCTACGTCAATTAACAATCAAGTCAATGTCCCGTAAACATGCTCTCAGGTCCCCTTTCCAGCCAATTCTAGCTTATGTCAAGTTGACAATAAAATCTAACCAGTACAAGGTATCATCGATAAAACAAATCCTGGTGAGGGTGGTACTAAGGGTTGGGGCTCACGCAGTGTTGGGGGTGGGGCTCACGCAGTGTTGGTGGGAATGTAAAGCTGTACTTGTGTGGCACCAGTAGAAATCCATATGATGATTCCTCAAAGAACAGAAAGTTAGATATGCCACATGACCATCTTTACCATTCCTGAGTCTTAAGTCAACCTACCACAGAGACACGTGCACACCCATGTCTACATGGCACTGTGTGCAATTGCCAAGGTATGGACTCAGCGTTGTTCTCCATCAGAAGATGAACAGATAAAAGAAAATGTGGCATAAACAGACAATGGAGCTTTATTCAGACACACAAAAGATGAAATTTTCCATTTTTCATTTTTCCGGGAAAATGGATGGAACAGGAGATCAAATAAAATAAGCTAGATGAAGAAAGATGAATATCACCTGTCCCATCTTTTATGTGGAATCTAGATTGAAAAAACACATAAAAATACATGAAAATGGGCAGGAGACTACTTGGGGAGAGAAGGTTGATTAGTGGGAGTTGGGCAGGAAAGAATAACAAGGATGAATAAAAGCAAAATGCATGACACATACGTTTCTACGTGTCATAGCAGAGCTGGTTGTTTCGTACAATGAATATACTAATATATGTACTAATAGAAATACCATGGTCTTCTCCCAAAAGTTCTAGATGCAATGCCACATTACTTGGTGAAAAGTTTGAAATGTCGTGGACTCCCAGTGCAGAAAGATGGAGAGGAGAGGAGAGGAGGCGAGAAGCAAGGACAGGGAGTTCTGTCTCAGCATTGACACAGAGCAGAGGGAGGGACTGCATCATCAGCACAGAATGCTGAGCAGTTTTCTAGAATCCAAGAATTCTGGTGACAGATTGGAGACACATGATGTGGTGGTTTGAATAGAAATGGCCCCCGAAGGACTATAGGGAATGGCACTATTAGGAGGTGTGACGTTATTGGAGTAGGTGTGGCCATGATTATAGTTCTGTGATTAGACTCAGTGTACTATGTGGAAGTCTGGAGCATGCAAGGCAAAGCCATGCTAGCCTTTGGAGGAAAAGCAGGACACTTTATGAAGGACCTGGGTTCAGATGGCCCTGGATTTTAACAACCACATCGAGGGCACGAAGACTAGGGGACAGAGATTCTCAGTCCATGGTGCAAGAGAATGGAGAGAGTCTTAGAAACAGAGAACTCAAATTTGTAACTCACAAATGGTGAGGAAGCTGCCAGGCAGTGTGTGAGTCTAACTTAAGAGCAGACGGGGAAGAAGAAGGCTTGGGCTGAAGGGAACACTAAGGCACTAAGGAGGAAGAGACAGGAACCTTGAGAGCCAGGGTGATCCCAGGACACCAGCCTGGGCTTTGATAGCATGAGCCCATGATAAGTACTGAAACTGTCACTGTCCTGGAACAACCCTAAAGTGCAGAGGTGGAGGCACATCTGGGCATGTTCAGAGGCAGAAAATGCAGAGTGGCCTTGCCCCCCTCACCATTCCCACCTCAAACCCCAGCCTCATGTCAGAGGGCCTCAGGAGGGACCTTGTCCACTCAAGGGAGATGGAAGCCAGACCATACCTCAAGCTGACCTATAGTCTTCACTTCGATCCATGGTCCCCGCCCAAAGAGCATGACTGCAATAGGCTTGTAGCTGCATGTGTGTAGTCTTTTTGTTTGCTAGTTTGTTTTCTTTCAATTTCTTGAGACAAGACTGTACTCCATAGCTCAGGCTGGCCTGGGAACATACTGCATGGTCCAGGTTGGCCTCAAATTCATAGTGGTCCTCCTGCCTCAGCCTCTTATATAAAGGTATGACAGGCAATGCCAGTCTTGGCTTTGCTGTGCAGTTCTTCAGTGTGTGTAATATACTTCACAATGATGAAAAAATAAAAAGAATACTTGAAAAAAAGAGAATGAGGCAGACACAGCCTTTGCTTCCCATTTTCCTCTGCATATTAAGGCTGTTCAGACTTCTGTGGAAACCAGGCAGCTCATCAAGTCTGCTCTCCACCACCCAGGTTAGCAAGTCCCCTAACTCTGTGAGCACCCCATCCATCTTTCTGTAAAATTGGTGCATAAGAACCTCTTGGTAGGGCAGATGCCCCTATTCCTGTAATAATAACCACCTGGTAAGCTGGCTGAGCACAGGGCTGTGCAAAACACCAACATCCTGGTGGGTGTGTGAATGTTGTATTGCAGTTAGATTATAATTCTGCAACCATGGGCCCTGGCCAACCTGTTTTTCATCAACGGCCTGGGTGCCATCTCCACCCAGTTACTTACCACACCCAGAATCTCTCAGTCAGAACCTCCCTCTATTGGCCCCTGCCCTTGTGTGGGAATGGCTTCCACAGCCCCGCATGGCATTGTGCTGGGCCATGGTTTTGATGTGGCCATGGGGATGGTATTACAAACTTCTCCCCCATGACATTAGCCTTCTGAGCTCTTCAGTGTGATACAGACAGGGCAATAAGCTTGGTCTCACATATAGAAAGCTAGAGCTTGGAATGTGGCACACCTTGGTGACAGTAAATGTTCCCTGAGCACCATTTGTACCACGTGTGTAGGGTAGTTCAACACAGGGGTTCCCAAAGCCGGGGGATCTAGAGAAACAACCTGTCTCAGGCCCCTGGAGGCCATTTTGGCCTACCGGCTGGTGGAAGACGGCTATTGATATATCTGGTTCACACCTAGTTTGGTGGGCTGGGATGACTGAGTCCCAAGGTTGTATGTCTCCATCAATCAGAAACCCAAGAGGAAGGGGCTGAAGTTGAGTTAGGGCCCGAGGAGTGGGTGAGACTGGCAACAGGCGTTTTAGATGCTGGTGTATAGGCATCAGGGAAGGGACAGTGTATGTGAGTCAGGGAAGGGATGGTGAGGAGGAGACATTCTGAGAGAGAGACGGAGCTGCAACCAGATGGTTTGTTCCTGCATATGAGTCCTGGGGCCTTAGTGTAGCAGAGACCTGCACAAAGAGGTTATTTCAAGGATACAAACACACAGAAAACACCCAGGAAAGCTCAGAAACCCTGTGCACCCATATGGTTTGAACCTTCTGGCATCTGATTCAATCCTAAAGCCCTAGTCTGTGTGCTAGTGGAGGGAGGCTTACTGTGGACTTGGTCATGTGCTCCAGGGCCAGCTGCATGAAGTCCCTCTGCCATTTCTCTTCCAAGACATCAGGGACTCCAATGACAGCCTGCAGGACCTGGAAGAGTCGGAATCTGTGCCGGCTGGAGATCTGGAGGACAGAGGTTATGTTGGAGATGGTTTCTGACAGTACAGGGGATGGCAAAGAGAACACCGAAGGAGTATACAAGGAGGCTGGAAGGAGGGAGCACACGTGGACACATTCATTTGGCAATTCTCAGGGGACACCTGTCTTGTGCTGACCTTGAGCCTGACCTACAGACCTGAGAGGAAGAAAAGCTTGTCTCTGTCTACAGGGAACAGCTGTGAGATTTAAAACTCCACTTCCAAAGGGAGGTCATGTCTTACCAACACTTAGACAGGTTTTCTCTTATCTATGCATTAATGCATTCATGCATCCAAGCATCCATCCTTACATTTATTCATCACCCACATATCCCCCTTCCATCCCTATATCAAAGACCTCTCCATTAATCGCTATATCCATCTTCCCACCAATCCATCACCCATCCATTTGTTTACTACCTGCTCCTCACATATTCACTCATCAGTTTCTACCATTTACTGGCTCTGTGACCTTAGGGAAGTCCCCTTTTCCCTAAACCATAGGTTCTCATCTTTAAGAGTTATAACCTCTACCTCAAAGAGCTCTGACCATGGTGAGCCCACATGAGTACACTTTCCTTCCTCCCTACTTAGCCTATTGGCATGCAAAGAGATAGAGATTTTATCTAAATGGTGCAACCGCCCTATGTAGGTTTCAGGGTTTAAGCCCTCTTGGGACCAAACCTTCCCCTATGCTCCCATCCCTTCTTCATGAGCCCAAGCAGTATCACCTCTGGATTGTCTTTGAAGTAGTCATGGATGGATTCCATCACCATACTGGGGGACCTCTGAGCCATCTTCTTCATCTTCTTGGTGATGTACTTGATTTGGAGAGGGTCTAAGGTGCCTGTGTCCCGCAGCATCTTGAAGCAGATGGCTGAAGTTGGTAAGAAAGGTGTGAGGATGGGGCCTTGGGGATGCCATATTGTGTCAGAGGGTTGGGTGGGTAAGTAGGGACAAGCATGTAGTGAAAGCAAGAGCTGGGCATATTGGGAAGTAGTCTGATATTCCCACTTTCTACTTGGTCCGTCATGGGTTTAAGAAAGGACAGAGCAGAAATATATGCTCATCAGCATATCCTTATTCTCTCATTCATGTTTCCCACTATTCATTCACCCATCTAGCCACACACCTATCCATCCATTCATCCCTATTTCTGTATATACAGTGATCTAGCTCTCCATTTACCTGTCTGTCTATTTAACATTTGTTTAACCACCCATTCACGTGTGTGCTCACAAATCCACCCACTCATCAGTCCATTCATTCACCTGGCTAACTATTATCTATTCATGCTGATTTTGATCAGTTTAACAATTTATCCACACATAGTCATAAATTCACTCAGAAATCATTTCTTTATCCTTCCATATAACAATTCTTTGATTTTCCCACTGTCTACCCAGTCATCTGACACTCCTTGGCATTAGAGTGAAGAGGAAAGAATTCCAGAAAGAGGTGTCCAGGTCTATGCTGAAGTTCTGAGGTGTAAATTGGTGTGGTTGGAGAGGAAGTGTGTTTAAGAGGAGGAGGGGACAATTTTTATTTATTTTGTTGGGGCCCCAGAAGGCAAGAACAAGCCAGGGGTCTCGCAGACAGCTGTCTACTGCCTTTGTGACACACAGAGTCCTGGGAAGGGCCTCCTTCTAGTCATCACCCTCAGAACTGCTTCTGGTGGTGGGACTTGATGGGCCTATTGTCAGGCTGTATTCCAGGCCATCCTCACCTGAATTGTAGGCCTCCTCCATAAACATTTGGTGTTCCTTGGGCACCAGGGAAGACTGGCTGCTTTTGGATCCACATAGCAGAATGGTGGCAGGACTGGACTGTCTGTCCCAGGAGGCATAGTCTTGAGACTCCTTCGTAGAAACAGAAACGTGGGAGAAGATTCTGAAATGGAGCAAGTTCTGTGTGTAAACATCATGTGCACTTATGTGCACTGTGTGTTCAAGTGCAGGGGGCATTGGCACAGTCTACTCTGGGTCAGGCTCTGCAATGTCCTTCTATGTGTCTGTCCTTCTGTTTAGTGGGCTGGTGAGCCTGGAGACTCCAGGACAATGTTGAATAAGCCAGAATTTCTTCAATTGGGTCTGACTCCACATAGGGGTCCTATAACTGCATGTTGTAGCCTCAACAAACTTGGTAACAGTAAAAGATTACTGTTTGTGTGTATTTATTTATTGGTTTCTCTATATTGCTTTGTCCTGGAACTCACTCTATAGACCAGGCTGGCCTCCAACTCACAGAGATCCTCCTGCCTCTGCCTCTCGATGCTAGGATTAAAGGTGTGCACCACTAACGCCTGGCTTAGTAAAAGATTTCTGAACATACTACACCAAAAAACAAATTCATAATCAAGCATGCTATGAATCGGAGGTGTTTCTGAAAGTGTTTGCCTGTGCTGCATTGCGTGACTTCACCACAGCCTAAGTTCTGAACACACCACCCACACATTCTGCACTGTACACAGTGCCATGGAAAACAAAGGCTTTGAATATTTCCTTGCCAGCATTACGCAGCATGTAACTATCAAATCAGCATAAGTTTGGATTGTATTGTGTTGGACAAACGAGCCCATCCTTCTAATTAGCAATTACTTTGCTTTCATCTTAATAAGTGGTAAGATCTTATATACCAGATAATTGAATTAAGATAAATTACTTTATCTTAATTTATGTTCAGCTAGTGTTTGACTTGTATGCCTGTTGTATGTACCTATTAAGGGAGTGTTTGGCTTGGATTTCTATTGTACATACCTGTATCCCTAGGGTCTTAGGTAAAAGATTCTCATGAATGGAGAAGTTGAAGGCCTGGAGAAGACAGCTTGGCCCAGCAGGGGTGGTAGACAGACACTCTAGGGGTCCAGAAAGACTCAGAGTGTCTCACCTCAGCTCTATCTCTCTTATGGACTTGGAGGGCCAGGGTTTTCAGAGTGGCATAGGGGATGTTCTAACTACCCAGGTGTCCCTTGAGGGTCTCTATGAGGGCAGATCTCCAGGAGCAGTAGGGGTAGGAGCACAGAGGATACAGGCCTTAATGTTCTGTGAAAGTGTGGAAAAGTATTTTCCCAGACTGGCAGTTGCCATAAAGGGCCAGAAGAAAAGGTACTCTTGCTTTGGATGCTGCCCAAATCTAGTTCTCCCATGACTCTATCTTGGCTTCTGTTCCCTGCTTCAAGTCCCCATCTACTTGTTCATGTGTAATTCTCAGTTCTGCATACTTCCCGAGGAGAAGGCCTATTCTAAGCTGCTACTTAGGTCCATACATGAGGAGGATAAACACATCTGCAGATTAAATAAGAGGACCATGAGGCATATTAGAAAGCAGCCATCATGGTTATCCTAGAAGATAGCTGTCTCTAATGTTTATTTATTCATTGTTTGGTATGTGACACTTGTTATGCCATGTCTGATTCCTGCCATCTGTGCATTCATGATGGAGCAACCAGGACCAGACTTCCTTCTTGCCTTGTGCAAATCAGAAATTGCCACAAGACATATAAGATAATTGTCATCAGGCAATAGACAACACTGGTGCAGGATAATGGTCCTCAAGAGTTGGGAAATCTACAGGGTTTCCAGTGGGGACCAGGAAAGCCTGTGAGCTTGGTGAGCTGCTGACACGGAGGTGATAGCTTGGGAAGATCACAGTGGCCAGTGTTTGAGGGGAGGAGGCCTAGGAGGAACTCTGAAGGTCTACAGAGTCCCCTCCATGACATCTCTATCTTCACTTGGTGCACTCGAGGGTAGAAGCAGAAGAAACAGGTTTTGGAGCTAATGCAGTACTAGGAAGGATTCCTTTCTCAACTCCACAATGAAGTCATAAGAAGTCACATCTATCACAGGGAATATCTACCCAAACAAGGATGCTCTTCCTCTCCCTGTCAAAGCACTAAATGGCAAGGCTGAAAGAGACCAGCTGTTTTAACTCTTTATATTCCAGACAGAGCTGAAGAATATGTGTGTAGGAACAGCATCATACCCAGCAGGGTCTAGTTCCTGGTGTTTGGCAGTCACTCAAAACTTACCAGGCATGTAACATAGCAAGAAAACAATCCACAAAAAGATGAAAATTAACAGACCAGAATCAATATGGAGGGCCAAGTATGAGGTACATCCAGCACTAGGGAGGCTGAGGTGGGGGAAATCTCAGAAAATTTGGGGTTATCCTGGTCTACACAGTAAATTCTATGCAAGCCAAGGCTACAGTGTGAAATCCTGTCACAAACAAACATATGCATACCAATGCAGGAATCACAGAATCAGTAGACAAGGACATTAAAATAGGTGTGTTCAACCTGATAGAGTGAGACAAAAGGATGCTGAGGAGAGGCAGGGAAGAAATAAAAAGGATGAAAAGCATGTTTCAGATTAAGACTCAAGTGGGTGACTTGAATAGCAGACTAGATACCTTGGAAGGAGAAACTGGCAAATGGAAAAGATCTGAAAAATCAAACACCGATGCACAGTGGAAAAGATGGAGCAGAGTTTTCAAGCTGTGGGACAACTTACAATATCTCAACATTTTCTGGGCTTGATGAAGACTACAGATACACACATCCAGGACTCTCAATGAACCTCAAGCAAAGAAACAAAAAGATTACACCAAATGATATCAAGAAAACACCACCTAAAATCAAAGACAAGAAAACAACAACAACAAAAAAAGCCACAAAGGGTGAAAAGGACACATTAAAGTAAATGAAGACTTCAGTGTCCTTGTTAGAACAATGCAAGCCAGATGATCAGAAAGACGGGGAGTTATTTCAGCTTTCTAGAAGATGCTACCCAAGAAAATATCTTTGAAACCTTCAGGTGAGATTTGGTGCTTTTCATACCTGTACACCTCACCCCTCCTTATGAATTCACCATCAGAAGAACCAGATCGCAGAGAGCATTAGATGAGTCTTCTGAGGCAGGAGCCTGATAGATCAATGTACGAACTAACGGAATAAAGAACACTGGGGAGGCTAAATATGCAGTGAAGTAGAAAAGGTCTTCGCTCACTTTTAAAATTTAATGTGAAATAATGCATTATGGGTCTATAACAAACGTAGAATTCAAATATATAACACCAGTGTAAGATCAGAGGAAAGCTAAAATGATGTGTTGGCAGTTCTGGCACTGTATGTGGTGTGATACAACTGGAAGGGAGGTGGCACTCAGGCTGTACTGTGTACTATAAATACCTGAGCAATGACTAAGAAGAACATCAACACAAAATAAAAAAGACAAGAAAGGACATAGGTGAAGAAGCCAAGTCATACCAACATCCACATTCAGTGCAAGCCATCCAAACACTGTAGCCCAACATCAGAGACGGTCAAAGGGATGGAAGATGGGGAGACCGAAGTCTGTGTTTCCTGTATGAACTTTATTTGTACTGTGAGCAGCAATGCTCAGATGTAATCTGTACTCCCAAGACTGAGGCAGGGGAATTATGAGTTCTCTTTTAGCTTGGGCTACACGATGGAGATCCTGTCTAAAAGTAAGTTATTTGTACTGTGAGCAGCAATGCTCAGATGTAATCTGTACTCCCAAGATGGAGGCAGGGGAATTATGAGTTCTCTTTTAGCTTGGGCTACATGATGGAGATCCTGTCTAAAAGTAAATAAAACAGGTGCTGGAAAGACAGATGACAGCACTTGCCATTCTTGCAGAAGAGCCAGGTTTGATTCTCAGCACTGACACGGGGCTCACTACTGTCTATAGCTTCAGTTTCAGGGATACCTGAACCCTTTTCTCAACTCTGTGGGCACCAGGCATGCGTCAGTGCACAGACAGAACACTCATACACATAATAAAGAAATCTCCAGTGACTAGTATCCACATGTAAAACTAAAACAGAACATATCAAAACCAAGGAAAGGAAAATGGCGAGAACTAGAGGGCTGTTGAGATGGCTGCCATAATTACCCAGTATATCCATGGGTTTCTGGGGATCCAAATTCCAGTCCTCATGCTTGTTAGACAAGTGCTCCAACCATTTAGCAACCCAGATCAGGGAAATAGTATTTATTATTATTATTATTATTATTGTTATTATTATTATTATTATTATTATTATTATTATTATTATTATTATTATATACATTACATATATATTATTTATATCCCTGGCTATTCTGGAATCCACTCTGTAGTCCAGGATGACCTCCAACTCAGAGATCGCCTGCCTCTGAGTGCTGGGATTAAAGGCATGTGTCACCACGGCCAGCAAGGGCTAGTGACTTTTGACAGATGTGCAAAAGCAATTCCAATAGGAAAGGCAGGCTGTTTGCACCAACACAGCACACCAGAACACTTGGATAAAAACTCACAACAAAATCCCTACCAATATTTCAAACACATGCAAAAAAAATTAACTCAAAACAGCATGGAGTTAAAAGGCTGAACTCTTGAAAGTTCTAAAAGAAAACAGGAGAAAATCTTCACAGAACTTTTGAAGGTATCCAGAAGGAAAGGTGAGGGGCAGGTCTGGAAGCAATCCTTGCAGATCACACAGGTAACAGAGGGATGAATCCCAAATAGACCAAGAAAACTGAGCCAAACCCAAACACAGACAACTGAACAAAACACAGGCTAAAGAGTGGATGGGATAGCCACCTGTGGAGAGAAACAGATGGCAGAGTAGCGGATGAACGGGCCATACTATTCTTGTAGGACAGAAAAAAACCTAAGCCACAGCAGGGGAGCATTGTGCATGCCTAAAATAATAAAATCAGGAAAACTGAACACATCAAAAACCCCCTGGAAGTGCAAAGTGCGGAAGTGGGAAGTCTCTGCAGTGTTGGAGGTTATACCCCCACACTCGAGGAAAAAAGTTTGGGTGAAGTTAAACACACAGTAGACATGTGACTCAACTTCCTGCAACCCTAAGTGAGTTATAGTTACACATAATTCCCAGCACAAATGTTTAACAGTGCTGAATTAACAACAGCTAAAACTGCAAAGCTTACAGATGTGCTTTCTAAACAAGCTGAAACACACCCCAGAAATCCAGGGGTAACAGATCTATAACGACATGGACATTAGAAACACAGTATGACATGTGAAAGAAGTCAGATCTTGGGTGGAGTGTGGCTGGACTCACTCACTGCCAGGCTGTGTGGGCATGTGTTTGGAGGTAGAGCTGTTTCTTGTCTCATTTGCGGTCTAGGACACACTCAAGCCAGTGAATTCTGTCATGTAAGTTAAGACTGTACAAGAAAAGGAAAAAAAATGAACAAACAAAACCCAGAGAGTAGAAAGGACCCCGCCCTATCAGATCTCATTTCATCCTACTTCCTGCTCACTCCATCCCAGTCCAGTGAGCTCAGGCTGTTTCTAAACCACCAGGCAAGCTGCAACCTCAGGACATTTGCACTGGCTGCCTCTCCCTTCTATCTAGAGATCACTGCCCCCATCACTGCTCTCCTGGTTCATCACTTTTATTTTTTTAATTTAAGTTAATTACTTAGTAAGTATGCATGTGTTGTGCCTGCAGAGGCCAAAGAGGGTGTCAAATCGCCTGGAGCTAGAGTTACAGGATGTGAGTCCCCTGATGTGAGTGCTTGGGAACCAGACTCAGGTCCTTTGTAAGAGCAGTATACACTCTAACTGCTGAGCCAGTTGCTGTCTAGCTCCCGTTGCTCACTTCTTTCAAGTCTCATTTAGTTGTCATCTTGATGAAACTCGTCTGAAACTTCAGCCTGACCCTCACTCTGCAACTTCTCTCCCTGACTTCTTCCACCCCTTTTCAGCTTGTAAGGTGGCATAACTGACAGGACCCTACTGATTCTCATCTCCAAGGCAACCCAACCCCTCTGGATCTTTGCATAGAGAGTACCATAACAGCATACAGAATCTTAGCTCAGGTAGCATTCCAGAGGGCATTCCAGCAGACACCTCCGGCTTGCATGTCCTCCACCTTCCACTCTGGACCTGGCAAGAAGCTCTTGGGAGATACTGTCTCCCTGGTCCTGAGATCAAGCTAGGGAGGGTTAGGCAGAGAAGGGGGCAGGCGACTGAACAGAGGTGAGGCCCTGACTGTGGGGCAAGCTGTAGCCCTACTATGAACTGACTTCTGCCCCTGCTCCAGGGCTTAGGTGGAAGGAAGCCTTACTGCACCATGTATCCTTGGAGGTTGGAATGTCTGAATGATTGGGGTTAAGCTGGGTCCCAAGGACAGGGCCCAAGCACAGGGTTAGTGCCTCCATAGGAGGCTATCTTTTTCCCCCAGGTAAGCACTCAGCTGGAGGGTGGTGTCAGTGAGCCAAGAACTGGCACTCATCAGAAGCCATCACACCATGAACTCCTGCTCTGAAACTGTGGGAGACAAGTCTGGTGGGAGATGTCCAGTCCTTGGTGCTCTGCCACTGCACAGAGTGACCTGAGTCCTCATTGAGGCAGACTTGACATCTGGGAGCAGACTAAAGTTTGTCAGCAACTGTGACTCTCAACTTTCTGTCCTCATGGGGCTGACATTGCCATGAGGTGGGATACAGAGGCAAGTGACCAGACAATGGAGCTATGGACATCGTTGGCTGGGCCAAGATGTGGGAGACCATGAGGTAGAGGAAGGAGTTATCTCAAATAGCAGGCCTGGAAGGCTAGGCCAAGGCTATGGTCTATGGTCAAAGCCACCCTGCGGGTGCCTCATCTGTGTACATATGTACTTGTGTGTATATACATGTGCACATACACATGTGTGTGCACACATGTATCTGTGTATACATTTGTATATCTGTGTGCATATGTGTGTATATACATGTGTATACATGCACATACATGTGTATATATACCTGTACATACATATATGTATGTGTACATATGTGTGTATTTGCATGTGTATACGAGTATATATATATATATGTGTGTGTGTGTGTGTGTGTGTGTGTGTGTGTGTGTGTGTATGTACATGTACATGTGTGTGTGTGAAATGAGTGAACAGGAGTATCTCCTCTCCTCGGTCAAGTCTGCAAGAACACAAGCTGCTGTATTTTTCCCACTCTGCCCTGAAGAAGCTGACAAGAGGAGGCAGCAGCCTGTCATGTCTGCCCAGATGTCCATTTGCTGGCTCACACTGTGCTGTGACCCTTGTTCATTTTCATTTCTGGTCCTTATAAGAAGTTGCTGCCCTTTCTTCCCATGGTAAGGGTAGAGTTTGTGGTCCAGATCTACCGCTGCCCCCATCACACTGAGGGCAACAGCATCATGGGACCCACCCCAAGTCCTCCTGGGTTGCTCTTGGAGGTGAGAACCCTAGACACTGTGCTGGCATAGTCCACCAAGGAGTCACCTTTTGGGGTGTTGTGTTGCTGCCCTGGAAGGTGAAAAAGCCAGGTGCCTGAAGGCTGGGTGGGCCCTGGCTCCCCCATTCCCTCCAGGGATGAACTGACCTGGGGTTGTAGGACATGGCTGATGAGGTCCTATCAGTTGAGCTTCGACTGCGTGACCTGTCAGACCGCTGCCCATCCATGTTGAGGCTCAGAGTAGGGGACACACAGGTTCCAATTGCCAGCCCTATCCACACCAACAGGCTAGCTCTGTCCTTGGCATTGTCCCATCTCTTGGTGCCCTGACTGGCCCTGACCTCACCCTGAGGTCACAATGGTTCCAGTGTTCACAACACCCTACTGGGAACAGTGGTAGGTTGGGGATGTGCGCTTGGGTCTACATCTGCATTGAGGATGTGTGTCTCCAGTGAGGCCTCATGTCTGACTCATGGTCTTCAGACTTCAGATATCCTCTGTGACTTGTGGATGAGTGGACCATCTGTTACATGAGTCCAGGACCCTGTGGTGATAGCAGGGCCTAGGCTGGAGCTGTGACTGCTCTTGAGGGCTCCAGTTGAGCACACGAGGTGCTACATAATCCCATCCGGGTGCTACCGCACAGAACCACCCCCCCCCCCCCCCACTGTCTCTCATATATACAACTACTGGAGTGAGGGCAGCCTGAGGTTCCAAGTAAAGGGCAGGGCAAACTGCCCCAGCCTACCTTTTGATGACGTTGAGGTCAGGTGACCCTGAGACCCAGTATTAGCCATTCAACCTCTCCATGCCTTGGTTTCCCCACCTGTGAAATAGAAGCACATTTGCCCAGCTCCTGGGATGCTTCAAGGCTCAATGAAAGGGCAGAGTACTCCAGTTCAGTGCCTGGGCAGATTAGGGGCATCTTGGTTCTGTTGCCCAAAGGGCTGCAGGACCTCTAAGTGTGCTGTACCTAGTGGGAGAAGGATGGGGGAGCTGTGTTGTTGATGTTGATGGAGAGACCGGATCAGTCCAATAGTCTGCCAGAGATGGCAGCCGTGCCAGTCCTGGCTGATGGAGCTGAGTGTCACAGTCATCAGTGTTGGGGGCTCCTGGGACACACCCTCACCCCCCAAAGTGTGGAATGCAAAGCAGGAAACAAGTCCTCAAGGGGGGCAGTGCTCCGTCTGGACTTCCTGATGCTCACGAGCCCCCAGGCCACGTGCTCTGTTTCAGCAGCAGAGTTGGGACCCCAGTTTTGTTGAGGGCCCTGAAACTTCCTCACATGGCAAGAAGGCTCACACTTACCCACTCATGAGGGAGGTCATACATAGCTCAGCTGGCTCTGGGGCTTTCATTAGTGTGTGGTGGCTCCAAGAGCCCCAGTGAAGATTTTTGTTTGGGGCCCTTGACCAAGGGTGTATGGGAGCTGGCACAACAGGCCTCGTGGGTGATTCCTCAATTTTTAGGAATTTTGTGTTGGTTGCTAAATAAAGCTGCAGAAAGCTTAAACAGATTGTCTCGAATCCCCACACTAGCCCTTCCTGGTTTTGTGGCCGTGTCACTGTCCACCCTCTGTGCTGCTAAGCCCATTACTGCACACTATACCTGCGTGGGTGGGAAGCTTTGTACTGGTGTCTCAGTGAGTCACAAGCACCCATGGTGATCATGAAAACCTGAATTCAGCTGTGTTCCTAGTTGTGCCATGCTTGTGTTGATCTGCCTGTGTGCACCACCAACTTCTGCCAGACATGGGATCCCTGTCTAGTAGGGGTCATTTCTTCCTCTTGTTACCTAAAAGTCAGATGTGTCCACTGTCCTGGTTTGGAATGAAATTCAGAGAGGGTCATAAATCGTTTAAGGCCACACAGATGTCAGTGGTAGATGCAGGATGCAAACTCAGGCCTCTAAATAAGTCCAATGTGGGGATGAGGCCCCATGGCTGTCTGGCACCCTCTCTCCTGGGTATTAGCCTCCTCATCCTGCCTCAGTGTCACCTGCTGGCTCCCTAGCTCCCTCATGCAGCCAGTAGGTGGCGCTGTGGTCATAGACAGGACTGTGGTCAGAGGGCTGCCGAGTGGGAGTGTGAGGAGTGGATGTAAAGCCTGGGACTCTGCTGAGTCTGCCTGCAACTCTGGAGCTCCTGTAAGCTGCTTACCCATAGCACCCTCTCAGGCCCAACACCAGCAGTGGGGGGCGTTGTGAACCTCTATTCCCAGCAATATAGTGTGGCCCCTTTGACCAGTCCATACCCTCTGGAGCGCTCAGCCTCAGGCTGGGAAGACATTTGGAAGAAAATCTTGAGGGGGGCGGTGGGGTGATGGGGGGCTGGGCTGACATTGGTCTCCCTGGATGTGAACCCCAAAGCACAGGTAAAAGGGTAGAGAAGGATGGGAGAGACAGTGACCAAGCAAAAAACCCAGCAAAGCACAGGAAACAGCAAGATGAAAAGGCTGTTCTTCCCAGTCAGGGGGAGGCATTGGCAACTGTCTCTCTGGTAAGGAGTTACAGCCAAACAGTAAAAGAAAATGTTCAACTCATCAACAGACAGATCAATCCCCAACCAAAGGGCAGGGCAGCATGGGTGGCATTCTCCAGAGTGGACAGACACCTGGCTAGCGAGTACACAAACAGGTGCCTCCATCCCTGGAAACCCAGGCAGGGCTATCAGAGCCACAGGGAGCTGTCAGTTCTCACCCACAGGACAGACTGTCAGAAAGCAAGACGCCGGGATGTGGGGGAGGGGAATGCTCCTGCCCTGTGGGTGAAGTGTGACATGGTGCAGCCAGTGAAGAAAACAGTATGGAGGTTCCTCAGAACATTAAAAATAGCAATGCCATATGATTCAGTAATCACCCTTCTGGGCACACATCCAAAGCATCAAGATTAGGATCTCAGGAGGTGTCACTCCTTGCTTGCCGAGGCAGCCACAAGGCCAGGATGTGGGAGCACTTGTGTCCTAACAAGGAGGGGAGCTGATGTCTCAGACCTGTAGCTGCCCCTGAAGACCCTGTGCTAAGTGAAAAGAGCTGCTACAGCAGGCCGCATGGCTGGTCTCACTCCTACAACGTATCTGAAGTCGGTAGATTCCCAGCAGTGGGTAGCGGGATGCAGATGCCAGGGCTGGGAAGGACGGGAGCTGCTGGCCCATGGCTTTGGGAGATGAACAGGGAGGCACGCTGATCTGGTATTGAGGGTAAGAGCTTATGTGTGAGGATCACGTGCACGGGACACGGAGCCAAAGCTCGCTTGAAGTGGAGTCTCATGGGTGGCCCGGACGTCGTGGGAGCAAGTTGCATTCCTCCTCTTTCTCAAAAGCCTGCCTGTCTTCTTGGTTAATCATAGGTAGATGGTTTCCTGGCACAATTAACAGATAGGAAAACAGAGGTTCAGGAAGTGAGTGAGGGTCTCACTCTGAGCCCAGCCTCTGTGGGTCTCTTTTGGGACAAATCTGGCTGAAGGTGGGGGGGGGGACTGTAGCTGTTTGAGGACCTGAACTTCAGCCCTCCCACCATGACTGAGCAGAGGAAAGCATAGTTAGTATGGGCTACCTAAGGGCAAGACATACTCCTTATCAAGATTCACGAAGCCACAGACATCAAGAGAGGGACCAGTTCAGACAGGTAACTTCTCATGAAGGCTCTATGGGTTTGGAGGTGCAGAGCAGACCGGGAAGGGGAGAGAGAGTGGTATTGAGGGACAAGAATGTGCTTGCCCTGCAGAGGGTGGCAAAGCCCTGCAGGAGATGCAGGTGTGGGCGGGACAAGAATGTGCTTGCCCTGCAGAGGGTGGCAAAGCCCTGCAGGAGACGTAAAAATGCAGGTGTGGGTGGCAGTGGGGATGAAGGATAGGTGTTGCATCAATCAGTGTGGCCTTGTAACAAACAGCCCCTGGCAGTGGACTTGCTCACATGATGGCTGGAGATGGGGTCTTCTCTTCCCCAGGCCCCAGATCCAGGTATAAGCATGGGCATTCACTTTTCTGAAGTTGTCAAGTTGTCTTGGCTTTTGGGCCTTCTTACAGCCTTCAGGTATATATGGAGGGGAGTGAAATATCGCAGCCTCTTTCAAGGATTATGGCTAGCCTGGATCATGAATATTAGGGTGGCACCACAGAGAGGCTTTACCACAGTGCTCAGTGTTCCTGGCAGCAGTTCCTGCTAGAGTTTTTTTTTTTTTTTTTTTTTTTTTTTTTTTTTTTTTTTTTCCACCTCACAGCCCCACATCCTTGATCCCTCTACTGGTGCTATGCCCACTGTCACAGAGGCCTCTTGAGATTGGAGACTTAGTCTGGCTTAAATCCAGAGCTGCTGAAGATGGGAGCTGATGGTTTGGCTCCTGGGCTCTGGCAACACTCCTGGGGTGCCCAGGGCAAGGTAGTCTGAGGGGATTCAAGTTCTCAGCAGCCCTGTGGGCTGGGATGTGAATACCAGGTTGAGCTGAGACAAGACAGGATATGCAGTCACCTTCTGACTCCCATGAACCCTGCCCTTGGCCCCAGGCCCTTCCAGATGGGGCCCCTTTAAATGCAAGGTTCTGTCTTCCAGAAGGTCACTCCTAGTCTCCTGGGCAGCCAAGTAAACAGAAGTGGGACCCTAGCTTCTGACATGGCTTCCCCTTGCTCTTCAGACCTCAGCCCCACTAGTCTGCCCCTGCCCTCTGTCACCACTCCAGGTGCGACATGTGGGGAGGATGAATGATGAGATTGGTGGTGGGGGGTGGCCTCTTCCTTAGAGTTCCTTCCTGCTCCCTCTCTCTCCTTTGCCCTAAGAGCCCTCCTGGGGGAGAAAACAGACAAGCCCTTCTTTGTTCTGGCTACACCTCCTTAAAACCCTCTAGGACCCCAGGACCTTAGCCCTCCACCCTTGTGGGGACACCACCTTCTCTGGTCACTGCCTGTTTTCCTGTCATCTCCCTCTAGGACCCCAGGACCTTAGCCCTCCACCCTTGTGGGGACACCACCCTCTCTGGTCACTGCCTGTTTTCCTGTCATCCCACTGACTGGCTCAGGCCTCTGGATTCATCAGCTCCTCTGTATCCACCTCAGGATTCTGGTTCTTTCTGTTCTGCTCTCTTGAGGGAGCTCCTGCCCCATGTGGGGGGACCACACACTGTTTTTAAACCTGTACTCCCAGCTTTTCTCCCTCACCTCTCTCCTACCCAGCCTTCTCTTTCTCCTGTCCTTGCTTGGCAACCCCACTTCCCCAAAGCTACCACACCCTTGCCTG